CAGGGGGGAGGAGGGTGGTCAAAACCCGCCAAAAACCCGTCACGTGGTTTGGGTACGATCCCTAAAATAATGCCTCGAATCGAACCGGCTCCAATTTTGGTAAAAGTGCGTTCAGTGCCTACATTTGAAGGCCCACCCCCCACACGCACACACACATTTAGAAAAACTAATGCATATGTTGCAAGTTCCTCTCACTGAACTAATTTGGACGCTCTTAAAAATATATGTTCACAAAATTGCATTCTTATAATAAAGGTGCTTGTTTAGTTAAATGAAGTTATAGTGAAGAACATGCTATGCCATGTATAATTATCTCCGGTCAACTGCGACCCACAACCATGGCTGCAACGTTAGACCTCCTCACGTTGTACTGTGAGAATTGTGCATTAAATTGAACATCCAAGAGTAACGGACGATCTCTGTGCTCTTTGGACAGTCCAATCGTCCTCCTCCCCCTTCCCTCGCCTTCATCTGCCTGCTTATCTACGGTAAAACTGTTCGAGGGGTCTGTTAGGAAACCGTACAACGCTCTTCAGCTATCCGTCCAAGCATGTCTTCAAACAGATAAGCTGAAAGTAAAGACAACCTCCCATGCCGATATGTACATCATCATGCAGATGTAAAGCAACCTGTACATTGTACACCACAAAGCCAGGAAACTGTGAAATGGAACCAGTTTGAAGTGCAGTCAAAGGACTTAGCAGAGCGAGGAAGGAGTCCTCGGTTCTGGAAGGCTCTGAAATCTCTGTAGCGTAGCACACGTGACCATAATGAGGCCCAACCTGCGGACAACGCTCACAACCATGAAGGGGCGTGTTGCCCATTATGCCTTTTAAATAAGCTCGTGCAAGAGAATCAGCAACATAAAGCCTCAACTGAACAGGAAAATGTCGATCCAGTAGAATTCCATCTGCTTGTAGAATTTGAACTTCTGCAATGTAGTCAGCCAAAAAATCTTCAATTGGATTTGGATCACCTGCCCCATTAAATAGTCCAACAACAAATGGCCAATTATCAATCGACTAGACTGCGGCAGATAATAGCAGTTCATTTTTTACTTCGAGGGTCATGAGTTTCAAAACCATCAACTAAGATGTCCAGATATATTAACTCTGAGGTAGGTTTAATGCCTTTGGCAGCTCGGGACAAGAGACCCTTCTTTAGACCAATGTGGCAATACTTCCCATACGACAATTCGACGCGTCCGGCGAACAAGGCCACATCTGCAGGGTGCCTAGTAACAAAGCCACACCTGCACGCCCGGTAACCACGAATCTGTGTCGGATATCTTATGGGGATTCGCCTTTGTTACCGGGCTCTCTGCAAATGTGGCTTTGTTCGCCGGACGCGTGGAATAGCTTCAGTCGAGACGGGTCTGAGCACATGTTGCAAGTGTCGGGTGTTGGGATGAAGAACCTGTAAAAGTGCGTCCACAGCAACAAGGAAGGGGTACTTTGAACTGAACATCCAAATTACGGATAGTTCCAGTAATCTTATCTTCAGATTCTTCATCCTCTCCGTCCTCTGCACTTATTTCACTCTCTGAGACACCAGAGATAGTGGATCCCTCACTCTCCCTATCTACATTAGCCTCAGCATGCAATGCATTTACATTTGGAGGACCAAGCATAAAAGCATCATCATCCACTTGAACTTCATGGTGGCACCAAGGCTGGAACAGGAACAGGGTGTTCAAGCAGAGGTCCATGAACAAGGGGTTCAACTCCAGAAAAACATCTTCTATCTTCTATAAAATTCTGCTAGCACAGCCCTCCTGGCAAGCTCCCTAATGTATCCAGGACCAAGGGCCTCTCTCCTGCTGTTGTCCATTACTCTTCAACTTGATCAAAATAGTGAAAGAAAATCAAGTCTTTAATTTGTTGGGCAACGTTAAAAGCAGAAATAAATTAGTCAGCTGAAGAGTTTTGTACAGTCTCCGAACAGGCCCGTTGAACAAGTTTAACGAAGATTAACAGAGAAAAATTATTTTTTTACCGTCTTGCAACTCATGCATAAATCCTGATTTTTCTGTAACATTCCTACAACTAAACAAAAGCAAGTTGAGTGCAACAAGAATAAAAATATCAATCCAAAAAGAAACTTACCTTGCACATTTTGCTATTTTTCAACCTTTACCGTGAATCCAAAATAGAAGCAAACAAATGAGTTACACTTACGTATTCATATTCGCTTTCCAGCGTCACATGCAAGTTATCTTAGGGCAGTTGCTTTGGAAGTGCCAACGAAAAGCGCAAAACCTTGGTGCCTCAGAAAAAACGCTTTTTTGCGCTCTGAAAACGATGGCGTTCCACCGGGGTTGCAAGTCCATGGCTATTGTGAAAATAAGTTATGTGGCAAGTAATCGTTTTGACATATGCTAATGAAAGATTAGGTGACTTTAAATCATTCTACAAGTACACACATTTACATTTTGTTAAAATAAAAAACTGAAAATTCGATTTTTTTTAGAAGTTAAAGAATTAAAAGTGAAATACAAGATTTGGATTCTGTTTTCAAAAATAAAAAAAAAAGAAATGTCACATGCTCCAAGACGATCAGAGTCGATATAGCAACGTTATTGGCGCCCAAACTGACACTGAGTGTCCAAAACGACCAAAGTTTCAATTCTGTATTGAATATCTCTCCCATTTCGATTCTGATCCTTGGAGCTTAAAACTTTTCCTTTTTTTTTTGTTAGGATGAACGTAAATAACGATACCTTCCGTCGAGAAAGGTTCATAGATGGGCGAACGTTGCAGAAAAAAGCTTGGCCGAGCGACGGCTACTGAAAACGGCTTGGTCGGCGGGAGGCAGATGAGAAAGACTCATTTGCATTTTTGCCGCGCAGGTACACGTTTGAGGTGCCAGGAAAAATCGGTGGTATAGCATGTAAATTTCCTAATAATAGAAAACGATAGGTGAAGCATTTCTGCGTCGTTTACCGCTTTCAGAAAATGTGTATTTTACAACACCGATTTTTCCTAGCGCTTCAAACGTCCATGTAACGTCGCGAGGACTTTCTTGGCAGCCTTCCGCCGACCAAGCCTTGTTCAGTTGCCGTCGTTCGGCCAAGCCTCTTTCTGCAGCGGTCGCGCGGCTGAGCCTTTTCTCGACGGAAGGTATCGATTAGCAGTTACCTTTTCACATTTCTCCCGAACCAGTACCGCCCCCTCCCCTTTTCCCCTCCTCCTTTATAACGTACTTACTTACGTAAACCATTCAAAATATCACTTTGTTTTGTTTCTTTTTTTTTTTTTTGCACCGGACACTCGCGAAACTTCACTGCGCTCAAAACAATCCTAGGGCCAGACCTTCGATCAATGATATTGTCAGCACCGCAACTTTATGGTAGGCTTCAGACCGTATTCAAATATTAATTATGACCGTGGTCATGACCGTAAAATAAATTACGGCAGATAAAAAAGTGAAAGCTTCCCACCGTCATGATTCACCCGTCAAGATTGTCATAAAATTTATCCATAACCAACATGTCAGCAGAAATCACTTTTGTACAATACTCAATGGAGTTTGTTTTTCGAAATCAAAACAACCGCCCATTACCCCAGCACTGCGACAACAATCTGACAACACTGTTAAGACAAAGGTGTGAATGACACTCTAAAAAATAATACAAAATTCTGTATCAAAGTTGATACAGAATTCTGTATCAGGCTCTTGTGATATGAAAACATGTAACATGGGTACAAAATTCTGTAATTTGATCAAAATGTTACAAAGTACCGTAAATGTTACTAATTTCTGTAACAGATACAAGATCAAGTAACGATGGATACAATTTTCTGTAACCCTGGATACAGAATTATGGAACTTCGTTGGCACGGTCTCCGTTAGCCCCGGTGGCATTACACCGTTTTCCAGCGGACCTCTCCTCAGGTAGCCTGGGTGGCCGCGCGGGTAAAGGCGCGACTTTCTAATCCAAGGGTCTGGGGTTCAACTCCCGGTGCGGCAAGGTACATTACTTGAAATGAAATCAAAGGAGTAAAGTCCCCTAGAAAAAAAGAAGAGGGGGAAAGGGAGGAAGAGTAACAAAATGAAGAATTACAATTTTAAAATCCCAAAGATGTTCTGTATCAGGTGATACAGATTTTCGTATCCATGTTACATATTAAAATCTGTATCAAAAATGATACAAATTTCTGTAACATGTGATATGTGAATTACTGCGTAACAATGTTACAGAATTTTGTATTGATTTCTTTTAGAGTGAACACCTTTCCAGGGGCGTTAAATTCAAAAGGCGTTAACGTTTCAGTTTTTCCCAAATATTTTCTGATGAAGCATACCAAGGTTTGTAGAACTTATGTTTTCGTATTCAGCTCAAAGTCCCGCCTTCATCAAGCCTAAATTTTGACCTTCCTTTTGATGTCAATATGACGTCCTCGTGAGTTTTTCGTGTTTATTGGGTAGATTCTTAAGGTCAGTATACTTCTTTCACCGTTCTTCAGACACATATCACATGTAGGCTCGATCGAAGCGGAATTTTGAGCTGGATGCGAAAATATCAGTTCTACAAACCTTGGTTTGCTTCAGCAGAAAATATTTCGAAAAAACTAAAACGTTAACGCTTCTAGAACTTGAATGCCTCTAAAAGGTGTGATTCCACATCTTTTTTTACCAGTAAAGTCTGCGCAGGCATCTGCAGCATGTACTCACTTTAGGTATCACATCTCCAGCTATTCTCTTTTCCTTGGATACAAGTGTAAGAACACTGGGATGGGTCACAACCCGGCTGGACCAAGGCAGCCGCCTAGCCGAGGCGTCTCTTTTCGCATGGAGGAAATTATTGCTATGCACACAGTACGTTTTGGACTTCAGTACTTCACTGATAACAGTTTTAAACCAGCAAAGACGAGAGTCGACTGTCATTGTCCGCAGCTCATCGCTCACTGAAAACCTGCATTTCACTTTTCACAATCTCCCTTCCGATACAGCGCGCGGTCGCCATTTTTAAAACTAAAACTTCTAACTCGTGTTGCAAGTCGCAAAAGCTCGATATAGAATGTATTTGGGCATTGCAAACCAAATCGTCTAATAATTAACAAGATGTTAACGGGAATTTTCCAAACGTGAATGAAGTTGATGAAGATACTGCCATCATTTTTAAAATGAGATGCATTTCTCGAGGTAGTGGGGGCATCAACAGCCACCAATCATTGAGTCATTATTGTAATGACGTAATCGCTCGCGAGTTAAAAAATATATGCAACAGCATGCTCGATTATACTTAAGAAGACTTTCGACGTTTTTGTTTGGAGCCTTGTCAAACAGTTCAGCGCGGATATTGACTACCATACAACGGTAAAATAAGTGGCGGGCTCACCTTCCCGTGCACCGTGGGAACAATCGTTTGTAAAGAAGCCAGTCGATCGGCGGAACGACACTGCTGCGATGGTGTACAGAGCACTTCAAACATACACACAGCGGATCCGAGTTGCTAGTCTTCCAAACCCGAAATGTCTTTGCTGTGTTACCTTCCAATCGAATGTTGGAGATTTTGATCCCTCCCTACTGCTTAGAGAAACCTTTCAAGCTGGCTTAGATGCAAAGGATATTGTGTCTTGGTTTATGTTCATTTGTCTCCGTATATAGAACGAAATTACACTGCAAATCCGAGTTAGGTTTTTCGATCACGCTATGTCACACCCAAACCACGCCAGGTCTCGCCGGATCACACCTAAATCACGCTAGATCACGCCTGATCATACGAACATCACACCAGATCACGCAAGATAACCTCATATCATACCCTTCTCACGCCAGGTCACACCAGATTAATGCGAAAGTACAGCCCTTTGTATCACAATTTCATCCTTTTGTCTATCATTACTATTATGGGTCCAGCGAAACGTTTTCTTTAAAAACGACCCCAATGCAAATATGTCCAGAGAAAAACCTCTCGTAGACTAGCAGAGTAAACGTTAATACATGCTTCGCGATCACAAAAGTGTTATAAATGTTTTATGTTTTCAATTGTTACATATTCAGAAGGTCTCCCGACAGCATGACCGCGCAACTTCCAAACCGTCACCAATCACAGTGCTGTGCAGCGAGTGGCTCTACTGGATGTGCCACCAATCAACCTCGGGGCAATCGAGGCTCACCAGACTGGTCAACATATGCTACCAGAGCAAGGTTCTCAGCCGCATGCGAGCCCAAAACCAGGGCGCGGGTATTTGCTCTTTTTGACGTGGGATGAAAATAGTAGAATACACACATGAAATGTCATTTCTATCAGGCACTCGTGCTAGTTTTTCGTTGGCAAACGGTTGAAGTTTCATGGACAGTACAGTTCGTGCTTCGGCTTGTCTCTGCTGCGTCAAGCTGAGTAAAGCTGTCCTGAAGCTGAGCGTAAAGGAGTGTGCGGCACGTTCCGTCAACAGTCTGGGAACAGCAGCACATTCGCTTTCGGAGACAGAAAAATTTCCAAATAGTAACATTGCTCGACAAATTTCCAAATAGTAACCTCGCTAGGCCTTCATTTGAATGTAATAATGGGGTAGCGAAACTTCCAGTAGTGCCACAGCAGCGCATATGAAGTTTTATCGACAGCTCCAAGTTGGAGCAGATGATCTGTTGTAGCAGGGACGATTTAAGGGGAGACTATAATGAAAATGGGTTTTCTAAGAACACATCCGAAGAGAAGACCTTTTCTCTAACTTGTGGTGTACGACTTGCTTGAAACTCGGTCTCAGAGATGCCTACAGAAAAGTTCCCTTGCGATATAATTTTGATCTTAGAAAGTTGAGTGGGTCGTTTTTTTTCTTGTAAAGGCCCACACTACAGATTCTGAAAGCCTCTTTTTTGATTTTTGATCTCTTCTTTTAACTTTTGTGTTTTTTGGCATTTTGAAAATTTGCAGAAATGACCCAAAATGTTATTTATTTTATTCTGTCCACAAAAATCTGGAAGAAATTTGAAAATCCGGCTTAGAGACCTTGCTAGGAACAAACGAACAAATATCTGGCACAAATTTCAGCCGTGTCGCTCATAAATTGTGACGCAAGGAAGTTTTGTATGTTACAAACTTAAGTTCTGAGAAAAAGGGAAAAACAGTGTTCAACCTGTTTGCAAACTCAGAGAGCTTATTCTGACTGCCAAATGTTAACCATTTATGATATCTTTTAATTAAAAACCTGGCTTGGGATGGTTGGGGGAATGT